TTGATCATATTTATATTCGAGCAAATAATGCCGTCATGCATTCAGCGGTAATTAAACAAAAAATATCAGATCACTATTTTGTTTCTGCTAACGTGCAGTGGAGACGCGCACCGCCGGGAAGCGATGATCAATCGTCACAGATACGACACGGGACCTCTAAGCGCGTTCTCGACAATAACAAAGTTCGAGATAAATTATTAAATACTGATTTCGACCACCTTATGACAATAGAGTGTCCAATTGCATTATATAATGCATTTAAACAAATATTCGTGGATATTTATAATGACTGCTATGTAAATAAACGTATCTCAAACAGTGACAGGAATAACAAAAAGTGGATTGACAACAAATTGAAGTGTATGATAAAGGAAAAGGATAGGTTATTCGAGTTATGGAGCAATGAACCAAAGAATATGTTAAAGAGACTTAATTATACTAAATTTAGAAATAAATGTCAAAAAGCTATTATAAAAAGTAAGAATACATATGATAAAAAAAGTATATTAGAGTGTAATAAAAATATTAAAAAAATATGGGAAAGGATAAATACGATGTTAGGAAACAGTAAGCAATCGGTTGATGAAATAATTTTATCAAATATGAATGGACAAAACAGTATTATTGACATAAGTAATAATTTTGCGTCTACCTTCAATAGAGAAATAGAGGATATAAAACATAAGTGTTATGAGCTTTGGTTGGATAGGCAGACTTATGTAAAAGCTTCTGACATGTCCATGAGGTGGCAACCAGTAAGCCCAAGATACGTCAAAAACATAATTAAAAACATGAATGCAAATAAATCACCGGGAAGCGATCTCGTGCGCATGTCCGACCTTAAAATAATCATTGATAAAGTAAGCCCCGTTTTAGCTAAACTTATAAACCTAACTGTCAAAAACCACAAATTTCCTAATAAGCTTAAAGAGGCAATAGTCCGTCCAATTCATAAGAAAGGTGATCGTAAAAATGTTTCAAACTACAGACCTATTTCCATTTTATCTAGTATAGATAAAATCATTGAAAAGTGTATCATCAATCAATTAAGTAACTACATACAAAAAAATAATATAATCAATGACTGTCAACACGGTTTTTTAAAAGGAAAAAGTACAAATACATTGCTTACAAAATTTACAGATGAAATAAATAGTTACTTAGATCATAAAAAATTTGTTATTACAATATTTTTTGATTATAAAAAAGCATTCGACACTTTGCAGTTCGATACCATCCTAAATGCAATGGGGGAGTGCGGGGTGGGCGAACCACTAAATCCTTGGTTTCGTGATTACCTCACCTCGCGCTCATACCGCGTAAAGGTGGAGGGCGCTCTCAGCGACAGAGTCGAGGTACGGAGTGGAGTGGCGCAGGGCTCTGGATGTGGACCTATTTGTTACCTTATGCATGTTAACAGCCTGTGCCGAGTGCTGCAGCATTGTTCAGCTTATATGTTTGCAGATGACCTGTGCATACTTCGCTCCGGAACTAACATTGATGATGTCTGTCAGCTAGTTCAACAAGATATAGACGCTGTTGTTAAATGGTCACATGACAATGGCATTATATTAAACGCAAGTAAAACTAAATTAATGTTAATTCGTTCGCCATATTTGCAACCTCATAATGGGATTCCGTCCTTATTTAGCCACGACTATACATGTCACCATAATAATTTACTGGATTGTAAATGTAAACCTATTGAAACAGTTAACTGTGTAACCTACCTTGGTGTGAAAATAGATAGTAACTTTTCCTGGTCACAACATGTAGACTATATTTCTAGTAAACTAAGAATTTTATTGAGTAAAATGTACCACCTAAGCTTTAAAGTTCCTATTAATGTTTTAAGATGTATTTATATGTCATTGGTTGATTCTATCATGAGCTATGCTCTTGACAGCTATGGGTTAACATTTAAAATACATTTAGATAAATTAGAAGCTCTCCAGATTAGATTCTTAAAACTACTTGTTACTAAAAAAACTAAAAGCAGCTGTAAAGGAGACTATAGAAAATTATTTAAAATATGCAAAGTTCTACCGATTACTTACAAACATAAATATATATTATTAGTTAACCACCACCGTACACAGGAGCATGACTTATCTTATGTAAAGAACAACCATAACACACGAACTATGGCTGCTGGTAGATACAATGTACCCAGAGTCACCAACTATTTTGGTGATAGAACACTAAAAAAGAGAATACCGTATCTATTAAACAGTCTGCCGGCAGACATAAGGAGTGAAACAAATTCAAATAGGTTCAAACGAAAATTAAAGTCATATTATTTAGAAATGTCCTAATAATAAGTAAGTATAAGTTTCAACGCCGGTATAACATTTAAATATAAGTACATTTGATTATAATGTCTAGCGACTCGACCCCGCAGTCAAACCATTGCAACGGTTTTGTGGGGCTTAGATTATAAAATACTTACCTGTGTGAGATAAAGATAAATAAATAAAAAAAAAAATAAATAAATGTAATTTTGTTGTCGATTTGTTAAATAGGATCCAATTAAGTCTAAAATGTTTCCTCTTATACCATAAGCGTCAAGTTTTAGGCTCGCTGCCATTGCAGCGGTAAGACCCCTCTTTGAGGAGTGGCTTAAGAGACGCTATGGCGTCTAGACCTACCGCCTGACGCAGATCCTCACCGGACATGGAAGTTTCGGGAGGTCCCTGTGTCTGATGGGGCGGGAGGAAACGCCCGGGTGTCATCACTGCGAGGACCGCTCTGAGGACGCGGTAGAACACACTGTAGCGGAATGCCCTGCGTGGGCTGAGCACCGCCGTGCCCTCAAGGAAGTGATCGGCGATGGCGACCTCTCCCGTCCGGGCCTAGTGCAGGTGATGATGCGGAGCGAGGGGGACTGGGATGCCGTCTCCTCCTTTTGCGAAGCAGTTATGCTAGCTAAGGAGGAGGCCGGACGCGTGAGGCAGCGAAGCGCTGCCTCCATGAAACATGGAGCTTTCCCGACTCTCAATAAAACGAGTTGCATTTTTTCCTGCGTCTGGAATAGGTTTGATTTTATCAACGAAATGATTATTGGAAGCTTCGGCTATCTCTACAGGGTTATTAATAACAATGTTATCATCAATTTTTAAGTTTTCAATCAATTGTTTTGGTATTTTGTGTTTTGATTTGTTTAAGATGCGCCATGCTATTTTGCATTTATTATTTGAGGCCAGTATGTTGTGGTTGTTTTGTGCACGTTTTGTTAGTATTATATTTTTTTTTACCATTGCTTTGGAGGATATGTTCAAGACGCTGCACTGGAAGGGATGGGACATAAATATAAACGGCAAGTATCTCTCATACTTGAGATTTGCAGATGACATCGTCATCGTGGCTGAAACCGTACAAGACCTTTAGGCAGGCTGTTCATATATGCTGAACAGCCTGGCTGATTCCTCTGCTCGCATTAGACTCCGGATGAACCTAGACAAAACGAAGGTGATGTTCAATGAACATGTTCTTCTACTGAACATGATCTACTCTCGAGATTGTTCAGGAGTATGTCTACCTAGGACTAACTCTACAGTTTGGTAGAAAGAACTTTGAGAGGGAGGGTCGTAGAAGGATACAGCTTGGCTGGGCGGCATATAAGAAACTCTATCGGGTCTTCTCGTCAATTCTACCGGAAAGCCTGAAGACGAAAGTCTTTATTTATTTATTTACATGTGCGACTGGTCCACCAATTTAAAGTGGCGCAGCGAGCTATGGAGAGTGCTATGCTCGGAGTATCTCTGAAGGAAAGGATCCGTAACGAGGTGATCCGACAGAGAACTAAAGTTACCGATGTAGCCCAAAGGATTAGCAAGCTGAAATGGCAGTGAGCCCGTCACATTTGTCGAAGAACCGATGACCGCTGTGGTAGACGTATTCTGGAGTGGAGACCGCGTCTAGGCAAACGTAGTGTAGGGCGCCCTCCAGCTAGGTGGAGTTACGATGTACGTAAAGTGGCTGGTAGTGGTTGGATGCGTAGAGCTGAAGACCGAACTCAGTGGCGTGTCATTGGAGAGGCTTATGTCCAGCAGTGGACAAAAACAGGCTGTTGATGTAGTATACTTTTTTAACAGTTTACTAGTATATGTCTGGTATTGTAATTTGTTGTCAATTGTAGGGTTTAATGTGTTTCCACAGTAAATCTTTTTTCTTCTTACTGCAAATTTTTGTTCCGCGAGACACCCATTTAGGTTTGGTGTCAATTTTTGTCAAAACGTGTGTTTGAGGAAAGCACAGGTCATAAAATAGTTTAAAATGTTCAAAGAAATATTGATAAGCTAAGTTTGGGTCATCGGTTAAGTAGATTTGTGAAAAAGATAGATTTTTAATACACCATTAATTTTTTTGATGTTGGACAGGCTGTAATCGCGTTTAATGGAGCACCAACATTTTAACATTGGCATTTTTTTACAGGTGCTTTGATTAATTGGGCTGTATGATCTGACAGACCAAATTCCAAAATTTCAGTTTTACAGTGTCTAAAATTATGTGCAAAATTGTGTAAACAAGTTTGACTAGACAATCTTGTTGGATTGCATTCCTCGTTTATTAATTTTCCCAGTTGTGTGGTCACCTGTACATTGTATATGGGTATGACATACGCGCGGATACCAAACTCAAGCTCTTTGACTCATGGACTGCAGTATGCGTGGACTCCTCTAAACGTAAAGGAGCTTATTACGCAAGTATAGTATATTTTTCTCTTGCCCTCTATATTCCCAGTCCTTAATCTATACGGATTATACCTTCCCAAAATCCAAATCCCTCTTCCAACCAACTTCCACTTTTCTCACAAGTTAATTAAGTATTTGTCCAAAGGAGAGAGGTCTTCTGGGCCCAGCAGTTAACTATGTGAAATATGTCTCAAAAAAACCGTTACATTTTTCTAAAGAAAATTACCAAATATGGTACCAGGATTTTACCCTGGAAGCGAGAAAACTTAAATTAAGATAATAAGACTAAATAATCGATTAATTAAGCCCTAGTAATCGATTATTAATAAATCGCTTAAATCTAAGAATATTTGCCTGATATTTTTTTAGTTCTGTTTGTTATTGTCAAGAGCGCTTGCTCGCTTGATTGCGCGTACGAAGTTGCGGGTAGAAGCTAATATGTGTATGAATATTAATTCATTAAGGTTTTGTGAAATCGATTTAATCGATTATAGTGTATTTTGTTTTCTGACAACCCTTGTTGGTGACTTGCGTTTGATTGACAATGACTGACAGATGTACTTGTTTGTTTACTTTCATTCTGAGTGCGCACGTATTTTCCTTATTTTATATTGTTTAAACCCACGACCTCGGCTTTGCATATTATAACGGACTATACGACGGATCTTGCTACTCTAAATTACCTGACTCTCTATTGTGGACAACTATTACACCTATCGATTCGATATCGAAGACATGGATCGCTGTATAAATTGTACGATTGCGTTTGGTCGCAATAATCCTATTAGGAGAAAAGTCTTGGAGAATGAGGTGATTTTAGTAAAATCTATTTTTTATAAATTTATAAAATATATACAATTAATATTAACTATTACTAAATGAAAATATATACAACTTAAAATATAAATAACTATAAACTAAAATATTTACACCTTAAAAAATAAATAAATAAATAAGCATAAGGCATCAAAAAAAATTTAAAAAAAGTTTTCTTCATCATTATCTCACGATAACCTACCTCACGGTAGGGTGCCCAAAAGACGAAGAGCATTACCACGTTGAATGGCAATGCTTAACCTTTGTCCAAGGTAGAAGCCAGCCCTTCGATCACCTGAAGTGTCAACCATCCTCCTTACAATATCTTTGTAAAGAAGATGTGCACTTGGGCCCCACGGCCCTAAAGTTTCAACCTCAATCGGTTCGAAAGCATAATTGCCAATCAGGCTATCATACTTTCGCCGTTTGAGGTTCTTGGCAGCAGCAGCGGCAGCACCGGCTCGACACGCTGAGTTTGGAAGATGGGATGGCGCCAGAGTATTAACGCAAGTGGCGTTCCATACTAAAGGCCTACCCATCTTCCAAGGTTAATTTGGTGATTTTAACAGTTATTCGTTAGTGGCGAAGTGAGTGATTCAAAAGTATTATCATATAAAAAATATCACAATTTTATACTATAGGTAATCTAACTTTTACCATAATTCAGATAATTTGGTTTCTAGGAAGCCAAATTTCAACAAATTCTCGGTTAATCCTTGATATTATATCCTCTTACATATGTAAGCTAATTTTATTTAGTTAACACCTGGGCCCAGGAATCTATGGAGCCATTCCCTTCTCCTTTGATCATATACCATTGTGAAATACTTTGGCTATTAAAATGTAATATTTCTTAAATTTTACTGTAGGATTGAAGTTAAATAAATAAAGACTAAACTTAAGTTTTTGTAAACATTGTAGTGGGTAATTGCACATTAGCCACTAACCGAGTTTAGGAATCTAACCCTTATCGCTAAGCTATTAAGGTCCACTATAGCTTGGCTGCGTAGCGGGAAAGCAGGAAGAATGAAGAACGAAACTCGAAGAAATGAATAATATTATTAGATAGAAGATAGAATATTATATTATAAGATTTTATACAAGCAAGCAAGATTATGAAGACGTGAGCGACAATTAATTCAACATTAGGTACTGCACACGTATCTTTAATTGCCTCTTATGCGAGGTGTAGCTAGTATATAAGCTAGAGGCTAGACCTACAATAGGAAGTGTAGTCAAAAGTTTTAGAATTAAAACAAATAATCGTGGAATATAAGTATTTATTCGGTCATTAATCAGTATTAGTTTTAATAGAACGGATATCTTCTTGATGTGTTGATCCTGTAGATATTCAATCTGCAAAATAATATTAAAATTGTTATTATTAAAAAAAGAAAGAATGAAATACCATTTATTCCGCCACGACACACGTAGACAAGAATATAGGTACAAAAAGAAGTACATGGTGCGTCGCAGCGCAAAAGGCCGGAGCTCAGCTTAATACTGAGGCCCGGGCATAAAGGCTCTAGTCTACGGCGCTAATTTTCAGCAATAGCCCGATATATCAATATTTATTTATTTTTTTTATTTATTTAAAATGCTTCATGCACAAAACGTACAAAAAGGTGGACTTAATGCCGCAGGCATTTTCTACCAGTCTGACCTTTCAATACCTACTCTTTTAATTTTTTAACCAGGAAAAATCATCGAATGTCTTCACCCGCCTGGGTGAGGCGGGAGGGAGTGCCAAACTCTTGCTGACTAAAAACCACCTCGTTCCTACTCCTGTACTTCGAGCCCCGGTAACTTTTTAATTGTCAGTTTACGAAAACCGTCACAAAAGTTTGCAGTGAACTGTTCACTGCAATGTACTTTCCCGTCAAGCAGTACCAATCGTGTCACCTAGGCGTCACTACGTGATTGCACGCAACAAAACAAATTTGTGAACAAAAAATGTACATTGCAAAGACGGTCACATGCTCCATAAAATTGTGCTAAAATTATAAATGACGATTAAAAAGTACTAAATAGATCACTTATAGATTGCTAACAATTTACTTTGAAATCTCGGCACTCTCTACTTTTTTAACTACTGTACCTATTTGATTGAAATTCGTGACAATTTTATGTCTGAAATGTTACGGAACGGGCACTGTACAACTGTTGTTAATTTTTGAAATATCTATACATATAATAAAATTGTAGAAAAGTGCTGTCTGTACATTGAAAATAAAAATAAAAAAAATAGCAGGGGCTATTGTTATGTCGATGTCGAACCCAAAAATGTAACTAACTTTTTTTTGTCTGTTTGTCTGTTCACGCTAATCTCAGAAATGGCTTATAAATATTTATATAATATATTTAACAGGGTGCGGAAAAGGTGATAGTGGTTTTAATCCTCAGATTCCTCTCATTCCAAAAATTTTCCGTTTAATTTTAAACGAATTCAGTTTCCAGTGAGCCTATGTTTCGCCATGACAATTAATAAAGCTCAAGGTCAGACTCTAAAAGTTGTGGGTATACATCTAAGTATCAGCTGTTTTTCGCACGGTCAATTGTATGTGGCTCTGTCCCGTGTTAGTAATCCCAGCAGCCTGCATGCTTTTACCCCCGATGGCCATACGTCTAATATTGTATATAGAGAAGCATTACAGTAAAGTAGGTTTTTTAGCTACCCAAAATGACTGTGATTATGATCCAAATCTAAAATAAAAATAAGTATATATTTAAAAAAAAAACGCTGCTCATAGTCACTATTCTACGCGAACGAAGTCGCGGGCACAGCTAGT